TTTCAAATCTAAGAATTCGCTAAAGCGTTGACTGTTTTTATTTTTTTTTTCCAGCGATATATTTTTTGGGTGTAAATTCGATTAAAAGAGAGTGAACGTGATGTTTGTGAACCATACATGAAACAGGTGTTACAAATTCCCAAATGTTGCTCTATTTTACAATGAATAGACCCAAACTGGTTCTCTTTTTATTAACTGCGGGACTCTCTACTTCTAAATATTACACTGCGACAAGGTTTCAGAAGCGCTCTCAATAACGTAGGGCGTCACCTACTTTTCTCTCAGTTATATGAATATATATTTTTTATAATTCCGGATTCCCTCGTTTCTTCAATTTCTTACTTCCTCACCAGGGCTCTTTCATGAAGTATTAGAAGAATCACGTGACCTTCGATTATTTATACAAGTTATTGTGCAGCATGATTAATAGGAAGGCTGCGTGGTTGCCCTAACGCAAGGGAACATTAAACTTGTATACGAGCTCCACTTTACGCTACTGTGCGATAGCTGACTCTCCCCCTTAAAGTACAAGGTTTCACATAATGTGGTCTCAATCAGAGGTCTCCGAACCCGGTCCCGCGGGCCAGATCCGTCCCGCGGAAGTCTTCCGACCGAGCCGCGACTGCCCGCGGTCCTTCCAATGAAGCTCGGCCCGCGGCCTGCTTCCAGCAGATCCGCCGCTACCGGCGTAAACAAGAAGCGTACGTAAAGAAATGGCGCCGCTGTGCTCTCCGAAGTGCAAACGAAGATACCAGAAGGAATGAGAGAAGCTGCATTGTAATGCGAGTCCTCTCGCCATTATATTATTTCAACAATGTCCATCATGGGCATACCGTTCTTATACCCGTGCCACACGGGCAACTCGAATGCCATTTACAACGAGTGACATTTGAGCGGACGGCCAATCAGCGCGCGACACTCCGGGCGTGGCGCATTCCACGCGCGACAGATTGCGAGCTGATTCGCCGATCACACAAATGTCATTCGTTGTAAATGGCATTCGAGTTGCCCGTGTGGCAAGGGTATTTGTCCCACGCTTCATGTTTTGTGTAATTTGCGTTCTCGTGCACATTTTGCATATTGTTCTCTGACGCAGCTATTTCATACTGTAAATATTAGTTTTATCATTCTTATTAATCTTTTCCACTGCGCGAATGTGCCAAATTTCTCACGCGCTTTTATTCATTCCTGGAGAGTTTTCTTAGTCATAAATATTGTTTAATGTCATTGATGGCGAAATATTAATTTTCAGATTGGTATATGCCTTCCTCCACCTTATAGTTTTTTTTTTTAATTCTTACTTTAACGTTTATTTTTCTGTTAAATCCTTGTCTAGGTTTCTTTTTTTTTTTTTTTTCATCTATGATTACTTTTTGGTTCCTGGCCCTCGAGACTCCAACACATTCCTAATCCGGCCCCTTATTAAAACGGTGTGGAGACCCCTGGTCTGAATAGTACATACCAGATCACAACCCAACCCCCTGGGGCGACTTGGACATACGGATACACTGTGGAGCGAAAAATACGTTATATTTGGCCGAGAGTTTATCTTCGAAAGAGTCTGGTTGAGCTTGGACACGTTGCATCGGGAGCAGATGAGCAGAACGGAAGCTCGTATATTTAATCCTATAAGTCGAGTGCTGCTGAGCTTCTGCCAGATAATTGCTTCGTCCGATTCGTCCTCCGCAACATTTCAGATACGCGTTATTTGCTCAGCCGGGCTCCACTTGAGCGCAACTCCGGCCGTTCCATATGGCGATTCCAGGAAAGGGCGGGCGGAAACACGAACTGGGAAGGTCTAAGGACAACACCTGTTCACCCGTGCGAGTTCAAGGCCACGGCTGGACGGACCTTAGCACCAGCGGCTACAGGGTGCGGGCCTGGGAACCTCATCAGGAAGCCCGCATGTTTGCCGACACGGTGCGCGCGCTGTGTTGCCCGCCGAAGCAATTATCTTCGGTTCGGGTAAAGCACGCCTCGGGGATCCTCGCAGTATGGGGCCCTTCCTCCAAGTAGCAACAGACGGTGCAATTTTCTTTCTTTTTTTAAAATTATATTAGGGTTTTTTTATTAATAGGGCGAAGCGGCGTTGTTGACCAGCAGGCGCTATTCAGTAAGAGAGGTTGTGATATATATATATTTTTATGTTGTTCGGAGACACACTCATTATGTGTGTGACCACGTTTAGAACGGCTTGAATTGGCGAGCATTAGTTATAAAATTATCTAGTGTTCTCTTGTCTCTTACCCAATCTCAGCAGCTGACCAATGGCCACTAGCCACAAATTAACTCCCGTCACCGGAATGCCATAGTTTTAAGTGCTGGCATGTAGATGATACAAGTAAAAGGAGAAGTCAAATAGTAGGAACGGAGTCAAACTCAGAAATGGTAAAAGAGATGCTCCCGCATATTGAGGTATTTAGTGCACAAAGTAGAAAGAAGACTACCAACTTAGTAGAGTTAGTCTGCCAACTAGCCCAAGTGTGAACTTTACAACAGAGTTTACTACTATTGAGGAGAAACAGAGGTGTTTCTGTTGAATCATAGATAATGCATTATCAGAGTAAGAGGTATGAGGTTTGCTGAGGAAAAACAAATGCGTGGGATAAGCTGACATGGCATTACCATACCTAAATTGCGAGACGAAGAAACGCACAGACAGATTTAAAGGGGTCATGAAACGTTTTTCCAACTTTTTCCTGTTTAGCTTTCCTCCTCAACTCATAAATAGCGTATTCTACCAAACAGTTTGAGAAGTAGAAAAGAGGTGAGTCCCCTCTTGCTCGGAATCTTGTTTCCGAGCAAAAGGGGACTCTCGGAGTAAGAGAAGACGAGACAGAGCCATTGTCCCCCTAGAAGATTACCCCGTCGCTCAAAATTCAGACAAAAGTTGCTTTCTCCCCAGCCCGTTCACCCCGAAGCTGACAGTGCTAGGGAAGCCACACTTTTGCCACGTGATCACGCTCTCTTGCGCATACCCACGCGCAGATAATGAGGTAAAGTGATGAAAGGGAAGCGGCTGATTGGTCGGGCAAGCGCTTAGCTTCCACCACAATGTCAGCTTAGGGGTGAAGGGAATAAGGGAGGTCCAGCATCGTGTGACGTTTGTTTGGACCCGGTGACGCGCTTTGGGAACCGAGGATGTATCACAGTGAAAAGGCAGAGAGCTTACAAAGGGAAGGAGGTACAAAACAGTCCACTGTGTGTTCAGATTTTCGCTCTGAAAGGCAGGCTTTTAACTTTCTACCTTTTTCCTTTTGGCCCACTGAACGATGTGCTATTAGTAAAATCCCGATCTAAAGTGATTTATACCAGCCCGAAATTCTTTTCATGGGCCCCTTTAAGGGGTATTCACACGAGGGAGAAATCCCGGGGATTTGTCCCCGGCACGCGCGCATCACGAGACGAAAATGCGAGGCTTTTGCACATCGCACAGCCCTACGTTTTCGTCCTGCAGCATCCGCGTGCCGTGGAGAAATCCCCACGATTTCTCCCTCGTGTGAACACCACTTTAAGGGCGATTCAGACATTTGCATTGAGTTCGACCGGGTACGAGGGTTGCTATGGCAACAGCTGCGTCGGCTCCAACAAAAACAGTTTTTATTCCGTTTTGTTGGAGTCGACGCAGCTGTCGCCGTAGCAACCCTCGCACTCGGTCTAAATCAACGCACGTGTGTGAATAGCCCTTTACTCACAACAACGTCTGCGGTTGAAGGCGATTTTGTGTCTGTTCGGTGTTTTATGTCTTTTTGCATGTGAAAACCTAAAATGGAATGTTTTTTTTTTGTTTTTTTTTCTAGAGGAGAAAGGATGCAATCTGGAAATAGCGATCAAAACCTTTAATACCTTTATTACGAATTAGGACGTTCTGAGTAAAAAAAAAAATATATCGCTCACATTTTTGCTTTAATGAGGTACGCTGAAGCAAAAACGTCACGGTGACCAGATTACAATGTTAGGGAGTAAGCAATGTGACAGCCTCGTTGTTCCTAAGCTGACAAAGATTATCCGACGCCACGTTGGAGACAAAGGAATGATTGGACGGTACAAGCCTCAGTTAGTGCCATGGTCGAAAAGTGGGTCGACATGGTGTATTCCAATTAATCTGGCATGACCCGATAGTGATAAAAGAGGGCGCCACGAATTCAATAGTAATATCTCGCCAAGTTTCTTTTCTTTCTTATTTTTAGAGTGCGAAGACTTTCAAAATTTTACGTGATTTTAATTTTAATACAATTAAATGCAAAGGTGCAAGCACGCCATAGAAGCACATGGTGCCTTTCAACCTGTGCTTCTATCATCAGGCCTACTGTGACCAAGATATAAACTAAGTTACACTTGGCCCAAATTTAGACCACCGTGATGTCTGTGCGGGAGTTATGTCAAATTATTGCAATGCTCTGAACCATCGTGGATGCTTATAGGGCTTCAACTAAATCCCAAAGCTTGGATATTTGCGCTTTTTGCCGACTTTGAATTTTCTTATCAATAGTGTAGATGTCGGATCTTCACTCAGTATTTCAAAAAAACACGAAAAAAAAACAATCTACATGACCATTAATAAATATTAATGAGAAAAAAATCATTCGTGCTAGAGCACCAAGTTTTATGAGTTCTGCCAACTGCTGAGTAAACTGATATTTTATTTGGTTAGCATATTAGTAATAATCATTAATATATGCTATATTTGCTCATGAAATTTCAGATAGCATCTCAGAATTCTCAGTGAATCATTAACCACCAAACAGAAATCAGTCTGGCCCACCAGTCTTCTCCACAACATTTACGATTTGTTGTCTTCTAGTCGTCAGAAAAAAATGCGCACAACTTCCCCCTTCCACTACAGTTCATGAGGCAGTAGTACGTATCTTCCACAAGTTGCCACATCCACAAGTTGACTGAAGCTATGGTGGCTTGAGGCAACTTGTGGAAGAGTAGAGACATTTCAACTGTGCTGTTTACAGTGATAAATATGACTAATGGACTCTGTTCCGGCTCACCCGTGTGAAGGAAGAGATGGTTCTTGAGGTTGGTCTGCTTGCTGAAGCCTCTGTTGCAGATGTGGCACTTAAAGGGCCAAGACCCACTGTGTACGTACATGTGGCTCTTGAGGTCACCGGGTGTTGGGAAGGATTTGGAGCAGAGTGTGCACTTGTGAGGCTTCTCCTGAGAAGAGAGTGAAACAAAGGAAGGCACTTGTTGCAGTAACAATTCAAGCGAAAACTCCCGTTTTAAAAGTCGCGTTTTTTACAAAAAAAGTTGTCGCATCATTCAACGGAATACAATAATAAATGCGGTTTCAACCTCTTCGTAACGAACTATTTGTTAACTGCGAGTCGGGTTAGAACGTGAGCCAGTTTTTACGACATCATTTTATAACCAGCGGTTTTACAGATACTCCTAAGTCAAAGACAAACGATAGGCCGGCATCGCTCTCCTCATTACCTGAGTATACTAGAATAACGGCCGGTGCATAAAAAAAAAACATATTACGACCTACGTATAAAGAAGGAACATGCCATGTGTAAGAGGCTTTAATTATGTGCAACAGAAAAGACAGAAGTTGTTGCTTTTCTTGACGTTCGGTACTATAGGTCCACCTTACAAAGCAACTCCAAGCACCCGCACTTCTCGCATATTATGTTAGAGGGAGGTATATTTTAGGCCGCTATAGTTTACATGTGAGACTATAATCATGCGGCATTAATAACAGGGGTGCGCAATTCTAAGTGACCATTACCTGTTAAACATTTTGGTCGTAATTTATAAAAGCGGACATGTATTTTGCGTTTCAATGTTTAGTCGATGTTCGATCATATAAAATTATTAAAAATACAAATCACTAAAACTCCGCATCAGGCGTAGTTTTATGGACAGAAAATAAAGTAAAATATTGTGTGAGCAGAGGCGAAACGTTTTTCTCGTCACTGACAGCCCTAGAAATGCATGGCTGAGGAGTCTCCATCAGTGTTGCAGACGTTTCTCAAAGAAAGGAACGAAAGCTCGTTCCTCGTTCCTTCTGATTTTCGGAACGCGTTGCCGTTACAAGTTTCATATGTGAAAAAGGAACTCGTTCCCGTTGCAGTTAAAATATGTAACGTATCGTTACATATACCTTACACTTGTATTTTTCTGTTTACCGTATTTAGTTAGATCGAGCAAAGTTTAATTTTTTTAATATTTATCCCATCAAATCGCAACATACATATTTCAATGCCAGGATGGAAGGACATCAGGAAACGAAAACAAATGGAAGCAAGGTTTCATTTGTCGAAATAATCGCCTTAAAAATCTCAGCTTTTAACCCCATTCATGTTTGTGGTGGGTGATTCAAACAAGCCAAATGTACCATTACCCACATTGCACGAGCGTTTTACAACAACCTCACATGTTTCAATCTAACAAAGTCCTTTGTTCGAACTTAACAACTGTTGCTTCTCGATATTGGTATCCTTAAGGCGAGCAAGTGAAGAAGAGGGCAGGGCTTTTGGAAGGACAGTGTTAAAAAGTACAAGCCCTTCTTCGCGAAGATGAATTCGTTGTTCAGTTTGAAGGTCGGGGACAAGGAGAAAAGAAATAAAGATTAAGTTTGTGTATCTTTTAAGTGACTGATATTCATGATACAAGGGTGTGCTCGATGCCTGGTAACCTGTTATTTTGCTGTAACTGTATGTATTTGTGAAAGCAGTGATGGCTGTAGTCGGCCTTAGATTTATGCATATACAAAGATTCATGAAAGCAAATAAAGTAACTGAGTTTGAAACGTCTCAATTTTCGTCTTTTCCTTCGACTAAAAGTTTTGCTTTTTGTACCTTTGAATCAATCTCCATTATCTCTCCTGCACCCGACTGTTACCGAGCGAGAACCACACGAAATAATCCCTAAGATAATGAACCAAAAAAATTAATGAGACCCTGCCCTTCGTAAAGACGTTGTTTTTATACTTTTAGAATTTCCCTCTTAGAAATAAAATAAAAATTATTCCACTAAACGAAAAAAAGGAACGCCTTCTTTTTTTTGTTCAAGTAAAAATGTAACGAGTTCCCTTTCCAGTTCCACTGATGGAAAATAGAAGGGCTACGTTCCTTCGTTCCTCCTAAAAGGAACGCGGTACAGGAACGCCGTTCCTTGGAACGCCGTTCCGTACAACACTGGTCTCCCTCATCTTATTATCGCTCCCTATCCAATAAGATTGGAGCATTCGCCGATAGGAACGCTGCAGAACAAATCACGCAGCAAGTGGCATGAACATAGTAAGTAAGCCAGGCGCATCCTGCGTTCCTTAAAATGTAAGCGACTTATTGTTCGATCGAAAGACGTCCCTCCGTATTGTTATCACCAGAGCAACGCAAGGGCGGTTAATCACCGCGTCAACGAGCAACCACGAGGTTCGGCGTAGCCCGCCAGCCATTAGCGGCAAACAAGTGCGGTCAACGGCCAGCAGTGAGGCAGAGCAGCGATTCGGTAGACAACCAGAAAGAAGGCAGGCAGGCGGCGTCGGCGCGAAAACATTCCGATAGACGCAGCTTCCGTCCCGCAATCGAGCTTTGGGCGGCACATCGCGCTCGGTGGTGGTGCTACTGCTGCTGGCGTCGCGGCGGCTCCTCGTCCTGCTTGTTCGTCCAGAGGAGGCAGATAAGAAACTACTAATTGTATGTCAGGGATCAGAGGAAACAGCGCTCGGGTGCCCGCCCACTTTGGCAGAGCAACGGGCCGCCGCCACATGTCCGCGCGCGGCGCACAGCGGGGAAGCGCACGTTTTCAATCGCTGCTCCGCCTTTCGTTTCCTAGAAGGGCTTCCTCGCGCGTGCGTACTTTATCAGGCGACCACTCGCCTCGGAATGTCGTGCGAACCACTTTCGATCTGCTGCCGCACAAGCGCGTCGGCAAGTAATATCGATCACGCGGGGTCCGCCGACTGCGCGCCGCCGCTGCCGCCGCCGCCGCCGCCGCTCGGGCGGCGGCGTTCTTCCATCACGACGTCGATGATGATGTCGGAGATGGGTCCAGTCTGAGCTCCCGCTTTTTAAAGTCTCTTCTTGTTGTTGCTGTTCGATCTCACGGCCGGTTTTTGGCGGAGGAGGGGTGTCCTAGCGGATTCTGGATCAAGTGGGGCGGGGACGCGGCGCCCCACTCGCGGTGTCCAGCGGCACCTTGGTTTTCCTTCTTGCATTCGCGCTCATTTCGAGCTGTCGCTCTTTTTCTACTAAAAATATAACAATAAATCTCGAAAAAAAAATCTTGGAACTTAGGCAATTAACGTATGGTTTGTAAAGTTAAATATGCAATCTCATATAAAAAACATGATTACGCCGACATGATCACACTCGACATGTAACAAACGATTTTGTATCTCGGCAAATGTTTGCAAAACAGTGCGAAATCAATTTGTTTTTTGGTGTGGCATGCATGATTCAGTTCATTACACAAACCACGTAGCGGTAGTTTGGCTTCACTGCTACGTCCCCGGCCGCCATGCGGTGATGCGCTTATTCAAGACCAACAAACAACTTTAATTGAGCCTCAGCAGACGGTTGTGCCTCTCACAAACTCTGTTTCGTATAAACGTTTCGTAATGGATTCCCAGCACATACTACCACTTGTAATGCCGTACTTGTTGGGAGCGAAAAATTTCCCAGGAATGGGTATTTGATTTTTGGCGAGAATTTGAGAACTATACTCATTTGCTTGTGAGCTATTTTCTAGCGTGAAACTGTAAGCTTGAGAGCAATTGGTTGTCTAGACTTCATTTTATTATAAGAATAAATAAAATAGAGACACAAATTATATATCTACTGTTCAGTGTTTCGGAAAAGCTCCTCCATTACATTCCATTTCTATTCCGGGGAATTTGAGTTTTCGATAATTCCATTCCTTTCAACTCCTCGGAATGGAGACACTGTAGTACCCATTCCCACTTTTGAAGAATAGCTGAACGCCATGATACCATTCCTTTAATTTTTAAACGTAAAAAAAGGGCCATTAACAGCCACAATGTGTTACTGGAGAAAAGCAGCATAAAGCTGCTGACATCAAACGCGGAGACGACTTCAAATGTCTGCAAAAGCTTCCTCAAAGCACTCATTCTACAAAACCAAAGGGTGGCCGCGCCAAGCGCTTCGTGGCACTTGGTTTCACTGCAGACATCGATCGCGCGATCAAGCGGAAAATGCTTGCGAGTCGCTACAGACACAATTAACAAAACCAGAGATTTTCTTCGCAAACGGACCATCCTACGCAGATTCATGGTTAGCGTGTTGCTCGTTTGATGAAGCATTAAAAATGTTTAGTGCGTGCATGGCGCAAGAATATATCTCGCTTTCTGCTTCGAGTATTGCACAACAGCACCGGTAGTGTCCTGTTGGAAGCGGCGCCGCGTATACCAGCCCCAAATCTATTGTGCACTGCTGTAAGAACAGAAAAATGCTGACAAAGTGAAATGGGTGCACGGCGCCAGCACAAGCGGCTGTAGTACCATATTATGGGGCCTGCCTTAGAACGTAAGCATATACGTTTGTTATAGGACTTTTGGAATTTCTTAGCAAATTCATTCTAATTCTTTATTTGTGCTTCACGCAAACACTACAAGATTGACTGAGTTAAAGCAGGGAGTCTAACCGGTCATTATTCCCGTTCGGTTCGGGTTCAGTAGTTTCGGATTTTGTTCCACTTCAGTTCTGGTTCAGTAGCGTTTTTGAAATAACGATTCGATTACCGGTTTCATCAGATGCAAACAAGTGCAAACTGGGTCTTCAAAAAAGAATCAACAGCTCCCAGTTGTTAACAAGGAAAGGTAAGTTCAACACGGCGACATCTGCATTAAAAAAGAAAATGAGGTCATCAGAAGCCGTGCTGCGGAAACGAGGAGAGCAAAACAAATATATACCTAATTTCGTTGTCTGGTGTTAAATTCTTAACGCAAACAACGTTTTAGGAAAATTGCGTGGCTATAAAGGTGCTTGGAAACTACCAAAGTGCAGTACTCGCATGTGAAGGTAATTAGCCAGCACGCACAGTGACACCGTGACGATAGATCGCCCCGTGCTCGCAAACTACCCACAAAAAACAAAAAAAAAAAGTCATTAGTTGTTTAGACTGCAGGAGTTTAGTTTTCCCGAGTATGGCAACATTGTTACCCACTGTAGATGAGAAATTTAGCCAGTGCAGTACGACTGCTAGCCTGGGGTCTTTAAGGGGAACAGGCAGTACCGCACTCCGGTACGATGCTCATCCAGATCGAAACGGCAAACAGCGAAGGCCTTTTGAAAGACAATTAAAACAAAACCAAAAAAGGGTACAATACAACGGGAAGCTTTCAGTTCCTAAAAAACGCACACACTAAAATATATATATATATATATATATATATTCAAGCAGCGTTCAGGGTGTTGGGCGACTGGCGACAGCCGCCGCACTTCCGCGCTCATCGCGACTTCGCCGCTCGGCGCCTTCAGATTTCGCTACAGCGAAACAAACGCGCTAACAGTCGTTAACTTTTTACTTTTATTTTGATGTTTATGTTTGATTTCTACTTCTTTGAGGACCATAGTTTAGCAGCAAGAAAAGAAAACACACACACATACACACAGATACACACATTCACACATCCACAAAAATAGCTCTTTAGTCTTACGGCATAGTCGGATATATTCCGTTTCACTGCGATGCACGCTGCAACGTATACGAACCAATCCATAGTTCGAAGCTTGTCTCGTGACTTCACGCTTCCGCGTGAAGTCACGCGGAAACGTCGGCCAACGAATCTCCAGGTGGCGGGTTCGCATCCCGACCGAGGTGCCCGCAATCTGCCAGAGGCTAATGGGGAGAAGGCACCGTGTAACCGAGCTTTCGGTTGCACGTAAAAAAAACCCCAGGTGGTCGAACTTAATCCTCACCACTCCGCTGGGACGTGCCAGATGCCCGTCATTGGTTTGGCGCGTAAAACCCCCAAATTTGACTTTGGTACGGCTCCAACCGAATTCGTCGATGCAAATTCGTGTGCTACGTAGACGTGAAATATACCTATTTGTTTCATTACTCCTGAGTTGTCTCCCTGTCGTCGCTGCCGTTTGTTTAGTAAATATTTAACTGCTGACGCCACCGACACAAATATTTCATTCACTTCGAGTCGCCAGCCGCAAGAACATTTTATTACGTCCCATTTTATTACGTAAAGCAGTTTCAAAAGAACCGGTAACCGCCACACGAAAATACGGTTCTATTGTGGTTCGGGTTCCATATCAAATTCTTAATTCCAATAACGGCTTTGTTCCAGTTCAGTTATAAATAACGGTTTTGCTCCGGTGTTTGGTTCGACACCTAGGTTAAAGTCTACATGAAGCTCGCGCATGGTTACAACAGGCGCATTGTCACTTCTCGCGGCGCCAGGAACGACACCTTGTCTGTCTACAATTATTTAGATTTGGTTGCTTCTCTCAGGGAGCGCCCCTTTCATCCTCGAAGGAGGAGAAGCCAGTCGGACAATCAAGCTGTCAGTCACCTCTAGTGAAGCAGTGCAATGATGCTGTTTCAAGGGCCACTGACCATGCGCCAGCGAATTGTGCCATCAGCCCGTAGGCCCCCCCCCTAAATGATAATCGACACACCTCACATAAGAACCGAGCCCATCCCATTCGCACTCCATTCCGGAGTCAGGAAAATGTGGAATCATTTCGGAATCATTCCAATTCCAGAGTAGCAACTCCGCAACGCTGCTACAATTATAGCCTAACCATATAGCCCATATGTTATCGCTAGAGCGCTCTTATGAATGAAATAGTTGCTTTTATTTCTTCACTCAAAGATTTTCACGCTTGCTGCTTCAACGGAGAATTAGTTCTATGACATGGTGACTGCAACTCCAGGTAGACATAATTCCCAGTTTGCTTCGCGGATATTTAAATTATTATCTATCTGTAGCATATAGTTTTGTTTTTCTAAGACTGCGAGCGGTCGTAATGATGACAAAATTTCACACGCAGGATATCGGGCAAACGCACGTATATGTACCAAATCCGATAACTGGATGTTGAAGGAGGTGGAGAGAATTAATTAAATGTAAGCAGCTCTTTTCTATCAGTCTATTGTCGTATTCCGCTAACATCATCACACACAAAAGATACAAAGGCATGGGTGATTGTACTTGACCTCTAACATCGTTAATCAAGGTCTGACTTTAAGATATCGACTACGGGACTCTCTTCCTGGAGGTGAAGCAAGATCGCATCTTACTACTCACTCTCCTCTCGCAGCATGACTGAAGCGAGGATAATCAAAGATGTTCTTTTACTAACGTACAAAAGCTAAAGAAATAAAGACAGGAAATGAAACGAGGCTTACAAAGAGCGTGGAGGCAATCTCTAGGAGGAAACCGCAACCGAGAGTTACCTCGGGTTGTTAAAAGCGCAACCTCCCAAAGTCAGAATTACAGAGCGGGCATTAAGAACCCCCGGCGCATGCCTTTGAAAAAGCTGTCGTAACACCTGTTGCGTCCGACCCCAGAGATAGATTCTCTCACGGGAGCTACTCGAGCTTACACAGCCCAAACCCTACTTCCGTTGCGTGTCGAGGCACGCGGCAGATGGTCTCTGATGGGAGCACGGGCATGTTAACGTGCATTGCTCACGTTTATCCGCGTCTTGTAGACAATATATATATATATATATATATCGCGCTCTTTTTTCTTTGTTAGAAAAAGTTTGCTGTTTCATGGGTTCGGACTGAGCTTTAATTCGGGACTTCGCTTGTGGTCAGGAACCAAGCACATGATCATCATCCCTAGCAATTAAAGAATCACATATTTTAAATACACTTATTAAAGTTCTTGAAATTGTCTGAAATAGGCTGATAAAATTTCTAGGGAATCCACGAAGAAAGGACAACCGGCTTTGTACGGAACTCCGCGGCGTCTAAACAGCATTAGGTCGCGAAAAAATTGGTGTCAACGGAAGTATGGAATTGGAGATTCTGAAGAGAGAGTAAATGGTTGCTTCGTTTTATTTCTTGGAAAATGTATAGATACTCGCAGAAACTGGGTTCTATAAGATTACTGGCATGACGACCCAGGTAAAAGCCGAAAAGCATGTTTGGCATCAATCGAGCTGCGATTGCTTGATTGCATGTTTGGAAAACCGAAAGAAATGACATCTGTAAGTGTAAAAGGTGGACCGAAATGTTTTGGTCTGGTTTTTACAGATTTCCGACAAAGTCATATAGGCATATCGGTACTATAGTACCGATATGCCTATATGACTACTTTTATGTATACTATTTTCGTCGCGTATACGAAAAAAGTCAGTTGAACTATAACGTATTGGCAAGCTTTACGGCATTTAAATTATCGTTTCAGTTAGATAGGCGAAGCGTATTTAAACCAGGCCTTGCTCGTTTTTGTATTTTGTTGTTATTTTACTGTTAGGAATCATCGCTTGTCACATTCAGAAATTTAAAAAAAACTTTCTCAATGTACTATCGGTCGAGAGACTGTGCTCTTAGCAGGTGGAAGTTTATCCTGAGTATTATTTATACTTAATGTCCCTTAGTACGTCAGTTGTTTGCCTTTGATTAGTATGGCCCTTGGCAAAAATAGAGATTCTGAAAGCCGGGGATTTCTCAGATAACACTGGACGAGCTTAGTTAACCGTTACAAACCAGGTGACTGAAAGAGACACGTGTACCCGTTAGGTCTAAAACTAAAATAAGACACCACAGAACTGATCCGTCGATAATAATAATAATAATATATATATATATATATATATATATATATATACATGTGTGTGTGTCTGTGTGTGTGTGTGTACGTGCGTTTGTGTGTGTGTGTTTGTGTGTTTAAGAAAGGAGAGAAATTAGAAATAAACAAAATAACAACCGTTACCCCAAAAATATATTTTTTTTGTGTGTGTGCAAATATGCATTTAGGTTAAATTGACAATGAACACATGTAGTCTCATTTCCACCATTGTCTCTGGTTTAAAGCAGAGCAAGCTTTTTCGGTGTGTAATATGAAAACATTCATTAGCCTTCTGTCCGTCGAAGGCGAATTGCTCTTAGACGTGAGCTTACCCAATAGAAGTTCTGACAAATTTGCCGAGGGACAATTACAACTAGATGAAAACCGAATTCGCGGAATCTTCATACGTCGAGAAAATGTCTAGATTGATTGGCGCTTTATATGTGTAAACATAATTTATTTTGCGGTATATACTCAACAAATTAGGATGGCGCAAAAATAAACTCACCTTTGAGTGCGTCATTCGGTGATAGTAGAGGTTTGACGATGCCGTGAAACGCTTGCCGCAGACGTGACACTGGTGAGGTTTCTCTCCCGAATGAATGCGTCGATGGGTGTTCAGCGAACTCGATGTACTAAATCCTTTTCCGCAGACGTCACAGACGTGCGGCTTTTCACCTGCACACAGTGAACGGGAACATCATCCAGTCAGTAGATTGCGATTGAGGAACGTGTATTTGGTAAAATATCTGACTCATTCGAATATAAACGGGCCCACATCCCCTTTCGCGCTCGGGTACCTCTCCGACCTCACATTACGTAGACTACGACTCTATTGTCTGCAACGTAACACGACTTTCCTAAAGTCGTGTTACGTTGCAGCAACCTTTCACCTCTACCCACTCTAGAACTCATCGGCGATAATCCAATTAATATTTTTTACTCGAATATAAGTGAAATAAAGTTAGATGTTTAATCATTGTTCTCAGGCAAGTGAGAACTTAGAAAAACTCCTTTTTGAAGGAAGGGAAGCTGTCTACAACTTCAAACAACGTTAACCCATAATAAAAAAAAATAATTAAGCATTTTATGAGAGACGCTAGCAAAGACAAACACGCTTGACTTGAAGCACAGAATTATTACAGCCATCTAATAGAGGCATTTTAAAGGTGCCCTGAGGAGGTTTGTGAGATCGCCTAAATATAGCGATAACTCCCTCTGTGGACTCTGAGCTTCCTAAAAATCTCTAAATCATAACGATGCGCGGCCGATTTCCCTATCAAAAAGCAATCGAAGATCGACATCATCTCTGGCGACGGGAGGAGCACTTGTGCCGGCAGCCATGACGGCATGCGGCCAATGAAAACACGACATTTTGTTGAGATGATGATTGGGGTTTTATGGCACACTATTTTGTTGAGATGGCAAAACGCTGTTATTACAAAATGTGTATGCTTTATAGGTGATAGAAGCAAGTGAGGGTAGTCGAGGGAACATTATACTGCAATATTACTGAACATAATAATGAACCTAACATAATACTGCGTAGTCGTAGTCGAAGCGTAGTCGAAAGGGGGAACACAATACTGCCATAATCGTCTCAAAAACAACGAACTATGTTTGTTTGTTTCGTTTTTTCTTCCGCGGGAGTGATGTGTCCTGTTGTCAGATCTCAAGCGCGCGTTCGCTCGGTTGAATCGTAGTCCGGGCTGTATGGGCAAACGAGCCGCGCGCATTCGAGATAGCACTCCGCTGTTCCACCGGTCGGAGGCGCGAGGATCCTTGACTCGCTAATGACTGACATTGGTTCTGGTTTCGGAACATGCTCCTTCCATCGCCGGAGGTGGAATCGGTGTTTTGCGATATTCGATTGCTTTCTTAATAGGAAAATCGACCGCGTAACGTCATGATTTAAAAATTTCTAGTATGCTTAGAGCCAGCACTGTGAATTATCGCCATTATTAGGCGATCTCAAACACTTCCTCAGGCACCTTTAAACAACACAAACACAACACAAAAACAACGGAAAAAAAAGTGTGTGGCTGCCAGATATTACGCTTTACGTCTGATTTGGACTAATATTGACGCGTTCCAGAATCGTACAAGAAGGTCTACGATTTAGAGATATTTTTGTTTAAGCTGAGATCATACACACGCAACCAGCTTAAAATAAAGCCAAGGATGGTGTAGCCTCTGCGGCCTACCGAGAGTACGCTCCCATAATTCCACCTCTGTACAGTTCAAGCTCAGAAACGTTTCCGATGGACAACAAATAAAAAAAAAAAAAAAGAATCGGTTTTGTTGCAGCACAGTTGCAGTGAACATGTCATTTCCACCGCCAGATCCACTGACTTTGAAGTATAATTGTAGTGTCCCGCAATTTACGTTGTTGTTTTTTTTGTTGTAAACGACAACGGCAATTATGCTGTTTCATAGGTCGCGTTAGGTTCGTCACGACAATCTTGGTATACTGAACTGTTAGCAGGGAGTGCAGCTTTGCGAATCACGATGTCTAGACTGCCTAGCCACAAGAAGACGGCTATATACAGACGCTTCAGCCCTTTTGAATTGAGCCGCTACCCATTGTAAGCGTAGGTCGCTTGTTGCCCTTGTTTTTTAATATATTTACACGGTACATAGAGGCTTCGTGTAGCCTCTGTCCTCTGCTTGCTTTTAATAGCAAAGATTGAAGTGTTGCCACAGCGTGTTGCGAAAAAAATATACTAGAGGAGTCTTAACATTTTCGTCTGTTATACGTTTAATATAGTGTTCCTGCTCAGATTGTAAAGACACTCAACGTATGGCTATTGGGCACCCACAGATTTTACTACACTTCGTTGACCGAGAGAAGCATCTCTGAATTATCAAATACAGCAAAATTTTTCGGAATGACGAAGTGCCTGGCATTATCCAGGAACTGATAAAAGTACATCCTAAGTATATTTTAGCCACTTGAGGACTCTTGGTCGGGGTTTGTTATGAATGTACAATCTTTTTTTTATCGGTAATTATAAAACTATGCATTTAATACGTAAATCAGGAATTTCTGTAATTCGGCACGCGAAGAAAATTTTGCAGGAACTACACTGCTTTAAGTGTGACTCGGATAACTTCAGATTGTAACGTCCGAAGGAGGCACATTGTGTCACAGGAACGCCACGTCTACTCTTAAGACAGATTCTCCAATTATACCCGCCACTCTCAAGTAGTGCTTTTTGGTTAACAATCTGTTGACAACCCTGGATTCAAAACACATCATCACATACGATTTCTTAGTGCTCAACAGGGTAGTTATACAGGTCCCCCATTTTGCAGAATGGTTTGAGTAAGCGCCAATTTATTCGTTCCTTTATTTCTTTGTGTGTGTGTGTGAAGATTACCAGTTTGTTTCTCGAAAAGCTGAGGTTGAATGGAAAGTACACTTATGCGGGTTGCAACATATTTTTTTTATTGTTGTGTTTGCTCTAATGTAAGCGTAGTCAAAGAGACACCACTGGTGGTGAAAAGCGTGCACAATTTAGGGACAATTAGAGACGCGGCGTACCCTCTAACGTTCGTTGTTCCTGTATTTACCTTCCTTTTGTGTTGCCCGTGCTACTCTTTCTTAAATACCACATCTTTGCGGGCGCGGAGAACTGGAAATGTAAATCTGAGACAAGAAAAATACAAGCAGCAGCTCATTTATCCGTCAAACGCGCTGGTTGCCACCGTCGCCTCTTTCGTTAAGCGATATAAGGTTTTCCGCATTAATTTGACGCTGTGTTTTGGCCGGCGTCCGTATATTGGTCGCGCCTTCCTGATTTCATTTTTATTCTTTTCGCTCTGCTCCCGATAACAAACGCGTGACGCGCGATTAGCATGTATGCCGCTCAACTGAACGCGGCTTTCGTGTTTCCTTGCGGATAGCCATGGCCATTCGCGCGTGCGGGACACGAGAGCGATAAATAAGTACGCACAATTAAAAAATATAAATAAATAAATAAAAGTGGGGTCGAACAGGTATAACTCGCCGAACCCTATCATAAGATGCGTTTTAAAGCGAGTGACGCCGAACGAAGAGCAACAGAGATGGAATGCCGTTCGCGTCGAGAGCGGCAGAGCGTGCGGCGAGAGCACTGGCAAAATAAGGCGCGAAGGTCCGCCAACTCATTTCTTCGGTACGTGTTTGCGCCAGCACGGAGGGAGCGTGGGCTTCGGGCGATGCGCTTCCATTTAATTCGCATTAGGGCCTCCTCTTCTTCGCGCCGAGGGACGCGACCCCGCCGGCTAGTTTCTGTCGCCAACGTCAAGGTCCTTTGTTCTCGCGAAGGCGACGAGAAGAGACGCTGCTGCTGATTGCACACCCTGCGCGTGCCGGGGTAACTGCCGTCCCGATCGCCTTCTTACGCTGGCTTCCGCGCTTGTCGAAAGCGTATCATAAAAGGCGGGCTATTGCAGAGATGCGAGGTGTTTACAGTAGGGAAGCGAAATTCGTTGATTAACTTACCCATGAATAAGTTCATGCGTTCGTCACTTTCTAATTGTTTTACTGATAAATCAGTCGAAGTGAAATCTAATTGCTTCTATTTTCTGGAACTCGTCAAATCGCTAGACCTTATGAGTTGCTGAGCTAACAGCTGAAACAAAAATTATTTATTTCGGTGCTTAGCTCTAAAGTACTTTTTTTTTACAACCTATGGTAAGGAGGAGGAAGAAGAATCAGTAAAGCAACTCGCTGCTCTTTTTTTTTCAAACTCCATGGTATCATATGTGAATCAAGTAAATATTTCTAGAGTTGAATATTTTGCTAGTTGGTAATCCATGATAGGGAATTCAGCGCAAAAGACGAGGACAAGCAAAGGACAACAAAAGAAGCGCCGTGTTTGTGTTTCTCTTGCTTGCCCTCGTCTCTTAAGTTTTGACGTTAAATTTATTGACATAAATATGTCAGTAGAAATAATACACAGCTAAACATTTATATTTAATTACTAACCCTTCGTAAAGCAGGCAAAAGTACGTCTGTAAAGAGGTGATTGCTGTTTCTGCCTGCACCTTTGACATCAGATCATGACATCGCTATGTATGCCAAACAAAGCAATAAATGCAATAAAATATTCTCAATCAATTCTAACGTTTCTTCGTCGCTAACCCTATACAAGTCCCAACATAAATTCCCTCAAGTGTGTAATACTACTCTTAAGATGTATCAGCTTAACATTTTTGTCAACCTCCACATCAAACCGATTAATCGAACAATTATACGACTATAGGGAACAAGGTAATTTGTTAAGAATATTAATCGATGTACGTCCTAGTTTCCAGCGTACTTTTTGGGTCTGTTCATGGATCTTCATTAAGAAGATTAGGAGCGAACCCTGCCTGAAGCATTCAGACGAAGAATATTTGCTTTAAAATGAACCACAGTATACACTATGTCAGAAGCTTGAAACAAAAGACGACATTGCAAAACGGCTGAAGACATATTAGGTGCATTTGGAATGTTGTTACGCTTGCTACAAATACTTGAACGGATAAAACATTGGAGACGGAGACGGAAAGAGGACTTTTTTTTATTGAGCAACAACATAAAATGGCACGAAATATAAAACCGCCCCTCAAAGGTTTCGACGTTCTTGAGGAAGGAAAGGAGAAAAACAGGAAAATGTACTATAAATATAGAAGTTTAAAAAGCGTTGACGTCACGACGAGGTATCAGTAATCTAGTTATCTTTGATATTAGGAATTTGACCTTTGTTTTTGTAAGTGATAATAGAGGCAAAATAAATTGTTGTTGTTGACAGGGACTGTCAACAACAACAATTTTTAAAACACCGAGGACGGGACGTCCTCAGTGTTTTATCATTCCAACTATTCGCACCTATTCACCAACACGCTCGTTCTCAATTATTACTCTTTGTCTTGCCATCGTTGTCGCCACATGTTTCCCACTTATGATTTCTGAGAGTGCGAAGTTCCATAGCACGAAACTCGGCTAATGGCAGCACTTTTTCATGTCATGAAGCAACACGTTATCCCGAGAAAAGGGAAGCATAAATCGACCTTAATCGCCTATGATGGTCGGAAGAAGCATTTGTTGCATCTTTTGGCTAGATGTAAGAGAATAGAATACGCTAAACTTGCAAAGGCCAATATTAGAAAACTGCCAGCTAAGAGGAATGCGGCTTGGTTTGCACATAAACCAGAATGGGAGGTGCCAGGAAATAATTGTTAAACTTAACTCACCAGTGTGCGTCCGCATGTGCCTCCGTAGAAGAGATGGTCTGTCGAACGCCTTTCCGCAAACTTCGCAGGGAAGAAGAGTCCTTTCCCGTCCTTTTTTTACCATCATGTGTCGTGGGGCTTCGATTGTGACCGTCTGAAAGCACACCAATGAGTCACGTGATAAATAAACCAATATATTATTAGATTGTTTTCCCAAGAAGGGTGAGATCGAAAGCTCTTTGAAATTTCAGACCTGAAGGCTCCATGCAGCGTTTTTCCACTATATGAGTTAAGTCAGTGAAAAATACTTCCATGAAGTTATTAGGGAAACGGGGCCCGAACAATACGCTCTATCATGTGCGCGTCATTTATGATCGGAGAACTTATAATCCATCCTGATATTGCCGTAACTTAAAACGAAACTAATATTTTATGGTAAATTCTGCGTGACCGAAAACCTGTGATCAAGAAGATGATGTAGCGACTGATTATAATCGCGCCATGCAGTAGGCGAAGCGTGCACACGTGTGCCAGAAATTCATGTTCATAATCCTGTCGCTGAATTTTAAGCGCAATCTAGGCTTATGAGATTATGTTTTTTTTTCTAAAATAATCAGTTATACACTACATATATAAAGTCGAGTTCTCGTATGTTCCACCAATTTCATTGGATTTTTGCCGATAATACAAAAGATAGCATATATCTCATCTCCAAGTGATCACTTCATATATGCTGCAATTCCCCCGATGTTCACACAACAAAGGAGCATATCCGGTTGCACACCAGATAATCGTCAAACGTGGCACAAGATCGGCAATCCCAGGACCCTAACTTAGTCCTAGTACTATTTTCTACAATGCGTTATTTCCAGAATACTTTCTATGGCGTTTTCATGGCTTTTTATCTGGACATAGAATGAGTCAAGCTGGTTGAGCTATAATGTCTCTTGCTCGCCATAAAATTTTAAAAGTACCAGAGTTCAGTCAAATATGCAACGTATGAGCCGAAGAGGCAGCTGTAAAGTCTCAATCTGGCACTTGTTTGGCCACTTGGGCCCAAAGTTGCCGCCGGGTGAAAACCAAACAACCAAAGGTGAATCCTCATTTTTGCAGTTGTTTGCCGAATGAGGGAAAAATGTCCATACTCTGGCTGAAGAAGGTCAAGATAATCCTACCTTGGCTTCTTCGAACTCCCTTAACGCTCTAAATTCTCCTAAAATAACACAATTTTAGACCAAAGATTTGTCCTACCTTGGTTGGAAAGATCTGAGCTGGTACCCATTGATTCGACCATATTTCCAGGTAGAGTAGAACAAACTAATATTATATATGAAAAAAAAAAAGCAACGCGTTATCAGTTTGTCTTTCCTTAACGTAGGCTACAATATTTTTATTATTTTTAGCGAACGCTAACACAACATGTATAAAGATTCGCGCGTTGCGGCCATTTAATGACAGTCGTTTCAAAAGCGTGTAGTATGTTATGGCGTAACGGGAGGCAAGACTTATAAGGTAGGCTCACATCTTCTGTTGTCGCGCCTTCACTGGAAACTGATCGCCTCTCCTCCGGTTCCGACGGAGGTGTCATGAGCACGCGGGGCAGCTGCGGTGTCAGGGGCGATGACGGGGACGACGTTGACACCAGCAATGACTGGGACAGGTCCAGAGGAGTGTCTGCAAAATAAGACACGGCAAAACAGCGTCATATGATATGCAGGCGTACCTTGCCCAGCTGGAGCTATCAAGTGAACGTGCGTCGCGGTAACCTAGAGCGTTGTTTCATCGCTCCTGGATCACAACGGCGGCCATGTATGGCTTTGCACGGTTTCGTTTAATGTTGAAATGCGCATAAATATACTTAGGAGTCAGCGGCTTGATCACTGTTACATAATCGTTTGTGAACATCTCGGCAGAACCACTCATAGTTCTGTAGATGTGATTACACATTCCCACATTACTTGGCACAAATGTGCTAGATCCTGCTTCGCAGTTTTTTTTTAACATATACTATGAATAATAGATGATTGCCCTGAAATACCTGATTCATTCTTCTTTTTCAAATGCGCTAAGACATATTATGTAAAACAAATGGGCATATGGAAACAACAACATCTTAGTTGTCGGTTTCCTGAAGTTTTCATCATATGCACAGACCTGCAAGACTGGTGCATTTGTGCTACAGAGCGATTATTACGTATGATCAACTGACTATCAGCATAGTTCGCCACACCTTTACGAAGACAAAGATTAATACATAATTATCGTTCCGACATCATTTTTTTGAGGTTCAATATTCGAGCAAACACGTACATCAGAACACCTGACCGTAAAAATTAGTAAAATGTAGAAAGGACATCGAATATTGAGACTTCCTTTTCGCGCGAAAAAGCTTTATTTTCTTGGTATAGAAGTCTGCTTTTGGTGCACAGGAGTTTGTTTAAAACTCAAGAGAACTATTTTCGGCAGTACTTTGATCCTACCTGACAAAATCGTCATACGTTGAACACGTTCCTGCGTCGTTGAATGTTAGAGCTATTTTTTCTCTATCAACTTATTCAGTAATGTGTCGTTAATATGGACGCCGTTAATACTTTTTGGGAATGCACCGGGTATCTGCGTTTATTTTGTGTGCCGAAATTGTTTTGGAAACGGAGATGTTCATGTTAACGAGACGTGACTGTGGGACAATTGGCTATTGCTATGGTCACCCTGCCTGCTAGCTTTTTATTTTATCTTTCGTACACTTTAATAACGTTATACTAGAATCTTGAAACTTATTACGTATTTCTTGCCTGTAATGTTCTCTAGATCATAAACTGTATATAAAAAAATAAGATGACTGGAAACATCAAAGGGGAGGCCCTTTTTTCGCCGTCGAAAAGTATACGCTGCCCATTTCGTTTTCGTTGCGGCCACAAGTTCTCTCGATTAAATATGTTTTGTCTATACATTTGCCTTTCATAATTCAGTTTGCTGCAATATATGTTGACGTGCTCTAGATTACAAAAAAAAACACCTCCAGATAATGTTTTACATGCTTCAGCACCTTAGCACTGCACATACTTCAAATAGGAATAGATTGGTTATAATACGCAGAATTCTCCACATCATCAATCTCCCTTTCTAGACCTGCCGTTGAATTCAATGACTTTATACCTGTCTCCATTAGTGGTTTAGATTGGAAGCATGTTTCTTGCCCTTGCTTGTGTAGGTTTACAGTGTGATCATACACCTACAAAAAAATATCATGCTATGGACCTACTCGCCCGACGGCAATTGTGCGCGAGTATGCACCTATCCGCTCAATCCCCGTGGTTTCCTCTAGAACACGCCGAGGTAAGGACAAGCATCCACTTGGAGCAGCGACGTTCTTGCTGCGTGCGAATTGAAAAAGGCAACTCGATCCGTTGCCTTTCTTGTTCGGGTTGCCTCAATGCCGAACGAAATGCTAGGTTCCTCTCGCTCTGAGCAGCAGACACCGAGATTGAATCTCAAGAGCTCACCTTGAATAACAAACTTGCAACCGTTTTTTTATTTTTTATTTTTTTGTGCAATTCATAGACCGCAATAAAGGAAGTCCTGGGTGCGCGCAAGTTGCAAGGACTCCGCGAGCTTTGCTCTTGTTGCTACGCTTTGGCATGTGATGAATACGTCGAATCTGTTAAACCTTTACCGTATTCTTAAGTGCGACGAAATGATTACTAACTCTATGTTAAACGCAGTGATTTAATTAGAATAGAATGCATAATTGATATTCAGTTGGCCAATCTTTGTATAAATAGGTAATTCTGTTGTGTGTTTGTTTATAGAGCCGGAGGTTAGTGACCCACAATGGGCAACTGGTGTCTCAGCAGCTGTAATGAGAAATTTCGCCACTGCAGCAGAACCGCTGGCAGGGGTCGTTAATGCGCACCACCGCAGTGGTGAAAACACCACCACTCTCCGGCACAATGCTCATTCAGATCGAAACGGGCAGAGGTGGGGATATATCAAAGGGTACCCTCGAAATATATACAAAAGCCTAAAACGTTCACCGAAAAAAAAAAAAAAAAAGACAAAAGAACGTAAACGCCCACACCCTTTTTTTCTAAATCTAATTTGTCCGGAGTTCAAACGAATGCATATTTCGCAATTAGTCAAAAAGTGCGCGCAGCAACTGCGTGACACTGATTTTGTAATTAGCCCGACGACTGAAGATGCGGAAATGTGCGCACTAAAACTTTCCAAGATTAAAAAAAAAAAAAAGAAAAAAACGCTTTGTCGTACGTGTTAAAATTTTCTTACTTATTACATTCTCAAGAAGCTGGCTTTGCGGGTTTTAAAAACATCATGCACTCAGCGGTCTGTGGTTGAACTTTGTCGCAAATTAACACGAGAAAAAGTACCTTGTCATTGCATGAGACAGCTGGCCGCATTATACATTGAATAATCCAACGAGGCAATGGACATTGGGACTCCGTCAAGAATCTCACGTTTCTTGCTCAGAGCATTTCAGGAGGCTTCCGTGAGTGATTTTTTATGTGCTGTTTCAACCTAGGCATTTTTGACGCCTGCGACGTCAGAAATCCACAGCTATCCCCTCTGAAGAAGTTGTGTGCTCTTCGGTCTTTTTTCTTCTATTTACTGCAATGCTTATATATGACCCAGGTTCGCGCAAACACACAATACGTATTTCAAGGTAAGCGGTACGTGTACGTTTCTATGAAAGGTGCAGTAAGTTTTTGCCTTCTTTTTAAAGGCATCCCTATGCAGGATGTGAGGCGCTACATGTGCATAAGGATGCTACTCACAATGCGGTAGCAAATTATGTGGCCTGCTCAAAATGCGTTCTTATGATTCAAAATAAAAACGCTTGTCCCGTCTACACCTTCCTCGTCTTTGTTAGTCGCACGCTGTTTTCAGTTGTATCATGAAACGACTCGACTGCATCGCCGCATTCACCCAAGAAACAATGTTTGTTTTGTACGTGAGGTTATCATAACAAAAGTTCAAAAGCTGGGAATGTGCGGTAACAACTCGAACGGCCAGAACAATAGAACGGAGGAATTCAGCTGAAAAGCGCATTTGACGTCAACGGTGAATCTGTTGTCGCTAAATCTCTAATCCTTTGTGAGTTGAATATATGAGAGATAGGGTGGAAGTGAATGATTCAACCCGACTCCAGGAAATTATTCAAATGTGATAACCTGATGCCTGACTGTGGACAAAAAATAGCGTCCGGATTGCGAGTTTGTTTTGTTTTGTCGCATCTGATGTGCAAGCTCGTGCCCAACGAGGGTCAAATATCGATGTTTGAAGAAGCTCCGTTAGTCACGCTCTTCCAAAAACATGCGTAGGAAGGCCTGCGGCTTGCATACTTAGAGTAACGCGAGAACACAGGCGACTATTAATCGCTACAAGTCCGGAGAGATAAAAGTATATTTTTATATGTATTAAACGCTGAAGTGTGCGTATACCGGTCCGAATTGAATAGCGTTGTGGCATCCCTAGCTTTATAGTACTGTTTAGAAAACCAATTGTTGTGGCTTTCTCTTCCGCTGCGATGGCTGCCCCCCTCGCGGCGAATGTTTAATAAAATGACGTTTACCCACAAAGTTTAGTGGGTCCTAAGTCAGGTGACACCGTGACAATGAGTCACGTGCTTGCGTGATCACGTGACGTATAGCTGCGCCAACGACGTACCCCAAAGGAGCAGACACCACGTGACTGGCGTGCGTGTTCTACGAAAAGCGACTTTGTTCAGGTTGGTTCAGATATACAGCGCTTGAGTGCTACCGACTGCGGTGCGACTGCTTGAGTTTTACTCCGACGCGTTCGCGGACGTCGGTGGCCATGGCAGCCGTCTCGTCATAAGCAGTAGCAAGCGATCATAAACATAGTCGGTAACACTAAAACGGAAATGTGTATGATCCAGAATCCAGGCATGACCAGTATGCTGCATATTTTTGAGCGTATGAATTCCTAATAATCTCGCTTTGTAAGTTCTATTTATATATAGAAGTCAAGGGAGATGAATTCATTTAGGCGAACTGCTGATTGAACCACTTTTTTGTTTGTTTTTGGTCTCTGTTTCAAAGTAGAGGATTGTGATAAGGCAAGGTAAAACCTAAGGGGTCCGCAGCATATTTTATTTCAACCTTAGAATACGTTTTTGGCGGCGGATAAAGAAAATGTTAAATGCAAAAGTGAGACGGGAAAGAGTTACGGCCGAGGGAATAATATCTAGCATCACCGCCGCAGCAATACTCCCTTGCGGGTGTCACATGTCTCATAGGCTGGCGTAAGCAACCATGTGACCATAGTGGCAACCAAACACCATAGGCGTTCCCGTAGGAAGTCATGGCATGAATTTCGCTGAGTCATGGGCACGTTACAAGTAAAAAGTAATAGTGTTAGAGTTACTGTTACGTGTTACAGTTATAGTTGCTGCAAAAACAGTAACGCCGTTTCTTTCTCGTTACAGTACAGAACTTGGACACAAGAAATCACAAACCAAAACAATATTATTTTATTTTTTACACTTGTTAAGAAGAAAGGTAAAATGAGAAATTAGAAAAAATTTAAACCCGACGGCTTTAAATCTTTTTTGATTTCTAATACAAGAGGGAAAAATACGAACTGAGTTATTAAAAAGTTAAACCCAAAAGGTTTAAATTTTTCTAGTTTTTCACGTT